TTTTATTGTGATCAAAGACCTGAAAAAAACAATGGAGAGGAGAAAAAGTTTATTTTGGCTCATATTTTTTCTTGAACCTTAAAAAAATTCTTTTTACATATACATGACAATATATTTTCACATTTGATACATACCTGGGATATAACTTATCCTAATTAGGACCCCATTTTTCTAGTTGTCCATGATATGAAGTTTCACTGGTCATAYGTTCATAGATGCACAAATTAAAATTATGATCCATTCATTTTACTGTCTTTCTTATTCCCACCCCCTCCCTTTCCTTCATTCTCTTTGTCTAATCCAACAAACTTGTATTCTAACCCACCCCACATTATTGTGTGTTAGCATCGGCATATCAGAAAGAACATTTGGCGGTTGGTTTTGGGGACTGGTTTATTTCACTAAGTATGTTAGTCTTCAGTTCCTCTGTTTACCAGCAAATGTCATAATACATAATTTTTCTTTAAGGAAGMGTAATATTCCATTGTGTATAGATACCACATTTTCCTTATCCATTCATCAATTGAAGGGCATCTAGGTTGGTTCCATAGCTTAGATATTGTGAGTTGTTGGCTCACAGTTTTTGAGGTTCAGTCCATGGTTGGCTGACTCTGCAGCTGTGGGCCCAAGTGTGAGGCGGATCACATGGTGGAAGATGTGTTGGAGGGACACAGCTTAGGACACAGCAGTCAGGACATGGAGAGAAGTTCCACTCACCAGGCACTGAATCAAACACTGAATCAAACACTCAGAGCAAATGAAAATAATCACATACCTGAGGAGTCCATTTACATGTGCCAATCCAAAAAGTCGCCATTCTACATCTTGCTGTTCCCAATCCCCTCTAGCCATTTGTCATCACCTACTGTGAAGAKCTGGGACTCATTGTACCTGCTTCAATGAGTCCCTTCTCTGCCTTCCTAATCTTCCAAAGTAAGCTGGACCTGAATGCCATTCTCTTGAGGAGTGACTGTCATACCAAGTGCCCCTGTGCTGGCAAAGTCTTCTCAGGAGGACCTCTTCACCCTGGGGAACCCAGGATCACCTTCCCAGTAGTGTGAAGAATTTCTCCCCTCAGCCTAATTCCCCAGACTGAAGTGGACTCCACCTGGAGTAGTCTCTTATACTCTGGATCTCCTCCTTGATCACATTCTTAAAACTCCTTCCCACAATATATGAGAGGGGCTGAGTATGGTGGTGCACACCTGTAATCCCAGCAGCTTGGGAGGCTGAGGCAGGGAGGATCCCAATTTGAAGGTCAGCAACAACTTAGCGAGGCCTGTATCAAAATAAAAATATAAAAAAAGGGCTGTGTCTGTGGCTCAGTGGTTGGCATCCCTGGACACAATTCCTGGGACCAAAAKAAACAAAACACAAAACTATATTGTGACACATTACAGGGGCCAAGATGAGGTTCATGATCTGAAATGACAAGAGTTCAGTCATCATGGCCTGCTGTCTCTCCAGGCATGTGTCAGTGACCCTCATGGATTCTCACAGCCTGCTGACAGGCCGGAGGTGGGATCAGCTGGGCTGGCGTCGAGCAGGTAAAGGCAGKGGGTGACACTGCCCAGGGGAAGACAGAAGCTGCACACAGAAGTCAGCAGTGACAGTGACAATAGAAACCTCCATGTTTCTGTACCTTATCCACTCGCCTTATCCAAAACTTGTTGAGTTTTGCACCGCATCCTATTTCCATGATACTGGCCACAAATATTTATTGAATACAATCTCACAGAATGATATTGGTGTCTCTTTTCATGATAAAAGGCCACAGGACACAGACAAGTACCCCAAAACTTCAAATGCTCACCTCTCTGGTTTACAATCTGTGGACTGGATGGGAGGCTGAGGGATCCTATGTCTGCCCATTCCAACCCTGTAACAGACACTTTGCAAACACTTGGCAGCCATACTTCCAGGCACGTCTAGACTATCCATTGTCTTGTTTTAAGGACTTGGCAATAAACTAATGTCTCAAGTCAACCTCTCAGCTCAGTCTCCTTGTCAGGATGGCGCTGGCAGGTTAGACCTCTCTCTCTGTGTCTAAGGCCTCATTTTATCACAATACTCTCAGTCTCCTTTCTACATTTGCATATTTGCTGAGTGCATGAGTTATTTCACTAATCATCTGTCTGCCTCTCAAAGAGAAGGAAGTATGTTGTCATAGCATAATTTAATTTCGTCACAATCACCAATAAATGTGGTGGAAACTAGACTGTAGGAGGTAACTGCTCCTGCTAACGTGCACCTGTTACTCATCTGAACACTCGTAAGAGCTGCCTGCATCTTGTGGATCCTGAAGTCTCTCACTTCCAAAACCAGAGGATTTTCATGAACATTAGTAAATATCACTTAGCTCTCCATTCTCTTCTGAGATAGCTCGGTTCCTCCCTCCTGAGACTAACCTGGGCAGCAGGCCAGAGTTGCAGAGCTGAACAGGTTTGAACTGAGCTCATCTCCAAGTCAGCAAAGTCAGGAGAAATGGCCACGGCTCCTGTCCCTGTGGGTTTGGACATTGGGGATCAATTAGAGGGAAAAGAGGCCATATAAGGCTTGCAGGAGGAAGGTTATGCACACCTTCCTGAGGGGCAGCAACTCATCCTTCTTCTGTAGAACCCGAATAAGTAAGTATGACATGTCTTAATTTATTTTGGCTTTGGATAACAGCAAAGGAAGATTATGGAAAGAATAATAGCATGGGAAATACTGCACAACATGAAGGCTTTGTGATTTCAGCATGAGGATGGTGGCTACAGGAGGGAGCAGTGGGAACCACATGTGTCCTGAGGATTCCTTCCTGGTGCCTTTGGCTTCTCCTGTCAGGGGAGCTTGGTGGGATCCAGGCCTGCTGCTCAGTGGCAGGAACCAGCTGCCAAGCCTGGCAGCTTGTGTGGGCATGGCTTTGGTTTAAACCTTTGAAGAGTTCAATAAGTTCTCAAGCAGGGTGTCTTCTAATTATGAGGCTACTTCTTCTCTCAAAATGCAAACTCACTGACTTCAGGCAAGGTGAGTTAAAGATGACATTATTATACTGAGTTGATCTGGGCTGAGTTTAAATAAGGGAGACATTTTGTCCATGTGGTTTTCCTATCATACGGAAACTCAGTTTAACAAGGAACAGATTGTTACATAACAAATTGGAATAACTTAGAACAATCTTAAATGTAAAATGAATTGATGTGAGTCCATTAAAATTTATTAAAATTCTTTCATGCCCTGCTCTCCTGTGGTGTGACTTTAATTGACATCTAAATTTTTCTGGGGCTGAGAGTCCTCAGAGCTTAAAGTATGGAAGGAAGAGGGGAGATGGTTACACCTTCAAGTCCTGCTGGACCGACAGAGCTCACCTACTCCATCTCCACAGCTCTCACCTGTGGATATTGGGACCAAGTGAGCAGAGGCTCAACAGTTTCCTGATTAGTCATGGACTGATTATCTATAAGACTCTTAAAACTCTTTTCCTTACAAGTTCTAAAAAGAAACTTAGCATGTTAGACTTGATACTCTTACATATATTAGGCCACATCATAACATTATTCATAGATGAAAGTAGACACTTACGTCTAACTCCCAGGTCCCAAAAGCTTCAAACCCCAGATGCACACCATTCTGAAAATTACAGATACAGAGATTTGTGTCATGGATGGACCATAATAAATGTAATTGTGGGAAGAAGAGTTGAGAGAAGTTCTGGAGTTGCAATGTCATACACACAGAAAGTAAAGTGAGTGTGTGGTTCCGTTGTCCACACCATGTTATATTTCTGTTGCCACCCTGCTTCTAGCTGCTGTAAGCAAACAGTGTGAAAGCCATGTGCATTATTCACTCTGTTCACCTTTACCATGGTCATTGGCTTACACAAAGAAAAGAGAGATGTGTGTGGAAATCCAGTTGTTGGATATTTGGTTTGTAAGCCTCAGAAAATGGAAACTTTATTCTGGCAGAAACAGTAACTAAGGAGCACGTTATGATCAGGTGGGTCTCATAGGGCACAGAAGACCTTTACAGGTCAAGAACAATGATTGTGTATGGTGATACACTGAGGGACCAGGAGAGGACTTTCTTTTAGAAGGTGAGCGGTACAGTCCTGGGGAGAAGATCCCAGTTTACTGAGTGGCAAGAGTGACATCTGGGGAGGGAAGGTCAGAAATGAGGGATGCGAAGAGGCAAGGTCCCCAGCACCTAGTGTCACGCCCACAGGAGTGAGGGGTGTCTGTGCTGGGACTGGGTGCTGAGGCTGCTGTGAGGCCCTGGGGAAGGTTCCTGACATGAGTGCTCCAGGAAGAAGGATCCAGTGGCCTCTTTTGGGTTTGATACCTGGGCCACTTTGTCTTAGTATTTATACATGGCTGTAGGATGTATTTATATGCATACAATGAGTATCATTTCCCATTATTCTCCTTGTGGATGAGTTACATTGTTCATGTGTTCATATGTGCACCCAGGGAAGTTATGTCCAAATCATTCTATTATCTTTCCTATTCCCTTTCCCCCTCCCTTCTCTTCATTTCCCTTTATCTAATTTAAAGTACTTCTAATCTTCCCTAACAACCCCCTGACATGTGTTAGCATCCACATATCAGAGAAAACATTTGGCCTTTGCTTCTTCATTCAGCATAACAGTCCCAAATTATATATATTTACCAGCAAATGCCATAATTCCATTCCTCTTTATGGCTGAGTAGAATTCCATCGTGTAAGTGTAAATGTACCACATTTTCTTTAYCCACTCATCCAGATTGTACTTGACTTTATATTTCCTATGTTTGTCTATTATGTCATACTCAGGTGGTTACCAGAAGCAATTGCAACAGGAACAAGCAATTTAGATTTTAAAGTCAATTCTGGAAAAGGTACAGTGTTGAAGAAAAAGCAATTCATTCTAAACAATAATAAAGTTGACTTCTTTTTATTTTCCTTTTCTGCTTCATTGCAGGTGTAGTGGATAGTTTCTTGCTTCTGTTTTTCTTTCAAACAAATCAAAGCAGTGCATTTCCATGGAGAAATGGAACCAAACTTCAAATGATTTTATTTTGTTGGGGCTGTTACCCCATAACCAAACTGGCCTCCTTCTCTTGCTCCTGATCATCTCTGTGTTTGTTCTCGCCTGTTTGGGGAACTCAGGGATGACTGCCCTCATCTTCTTGGACCTGCGGCTCCATACCCCCATGTACTTTCTCCTCAGCCAGCTCTCCCTCATGGACCTGATGTACATCTCCTCCACCGTCCCCAAGATGACATATAACTTCCTCTCTGGCCAGAAAAGCATCTCCGTCCTGGGGTGTGCCATGCAGATCTTCTTCTTCATAACCATGGGGTGTTCTGAAGGCTTACTCCTGGCCTCCATGGCCTATGACCGCTTTGTGGCCATCTGCCACYCCCTCCACTACCCCATCCGCATGAGTAAAAGGATATGTGTGAAGATGATCCTGGGGTCCTGGACACTGGGCTCCATCAACTCCCTGGCACACACCATCTATACTTTTCAGATCTCTTACTGCAGATCTAGAGMCATCAATCATTTCTWCTGTGACATCCCAGCCATGATGCCTCTGGCCTGTATGGACACCTGGGTCTATGAGTACATGGTGTTTGTGAGCACCACCCTGTTTCTCTTCCTGCCTTTCCTTGGCATCATGGTCTCCTATGGACGGGTCCTTTTTTCTGTCTTCCACATGCGCTCAAAAGAGGGAAGGAAAAAGGCCTTCACCACGTGCACCACACATTTAACTGTGGTGACATTTTACTATGCTCCTTTTGTCTACACTTATCTCCGTCCCAGGAGTCTCCGCTCACCAGAAGAGGACAAGATCCTTGCAGTTTTCTACAGCGTCCTCACCCCCATGCTCAACCCAATTGTCTACAGCCTGAGGAACAAGGAGGTGCTGGGGGCCATGAGGAGAGTGTGGGGGATGCTCTCCTCCAGGAAGAAGTGAGCATGGCTGTCCCTGCTCCTCTGTATGGCTTCTCTACATGCAGACTAAGCAGTGTTCAGAAGGGCTGACCAATACAAGTATGAGACACATATGCAATTRGAGTTTACTAGTCAAACATTTAAAAATAAATAAAATTCATTATGATATCTTGATGATTATTAAAAATTGCATTAATTATTGATATTTGTAYTGAATTGAAAACATTGCAATCAATGTTAATATTAACAGTGAAGAATTAATTGAAGATCAATTTATATCATAGGATATTTTACACCATCTGTACACACATTGATATTTATGTAATAGTATTTGTTATGATATTGACATTATGTCTACCTATTTATACATGAAATTATTACTGTGCTTCATATTTTATTTTTATTCTAAATTTTAAAGTCCTGTGTGTACATTATATTTTTAGCACATAGAAATATGTACTGTCCACATTTCAAGTGTCCACAGCACATGTGATCTGGCCTGAGTCTACAAATGTGCAAGACTGGTGGGATTTTTAATCCTCTCCTTCAGGGACTGTTTTTCAAAGATTTCTGTTTTGGGGGCAAAGAATTTTCTGTTGAACTCTAAAACACAGCCATTTATTATTTTCTTCTAATTTTTAATTTTATTCTTGTAGAGATATGGAACCATRTGGCTCCTAAAACCTCAGTTATTCCCACCTCTAATTGGTCTCCTTGCATGTAATATGTAAAGAAGCTTTCTTTGCCTTGAGGACAAATGCTAGACTTTTTCCTGTTGTTGTTTACTTCCCTGTTTAACTCCTTGACTCAACACTGTGGATGCTCCTTGTCTTTACTGAAACAGTCATCCTTGGCTTTTATCATCATTGGCTCATCTGAGCTGGATTTTGGGGTCTCAGGTTTGCTAAACTATGGATAGATACTGATATGTGCCTCTCTACAACACATGCATTTCACAGGCAAAGCATCACAGAGAGACTTGTGCACAGAGTTGTGKTTTCATTAGCAGCTTAACACATGACAATCAGGAAGCAGAGAGAGTGCTGGCTCTCCAAGAAGAACATATACCCACAAAGRCACGCCCCCATGACACAACACCTCTACACACCTTCTACATGACTGTAGCTGTCACCCAGTTAATCATAAYCACACTCTCATAACCTGGTCATTTCACTTCTGAACTTTCTTGCATTGTMTCAAACATGAACTTTTGGGGGACACCTAATACTAAACCATAACRAGTTATCACTGTGCCTCATCCTTTCTAACCGGTTTGCCTGACCATTTTGGTGAGCCATCTGCAACATGCCCAGATCTCCCTGGGGTAACTCTCTTTCTTGTGCCCTGTMCACATTCCCAAGTCCATGTTCATGAGCTGCCATCCTGCTTTTTAAATTTTTTAAGTGTAGATGGACACAATACCTTTATTTTCTTTATTCATTTTATGTGGTTCTGAGGCTTGAACCCAGTGCCCCACAAATGCTAGGCGAGCACTCTACCACTGGGCCACAACTCGGCCCTGCCATCTCTGGTTTTGATAGTCCTGGAAGAGTTAATACAATTTAAGAGTTAATACAGGTGGTGTGCACCTGCAGGCTGATTGCTGTTTCACTAGGTGGCCACTACTAACAACTCTGCCCATGCATACATGGGACATTGTCCTTGGTGTGCACCTACAGGTTGATTGCTCTTCTCATTTACATGGCTGGCATTACTCTTGGTGAACACATGAAGGCTGATTGCTCTTCTCATTCACATGCTGGGCACTGTCCTTGGTGTGCACCTGCAGGCTGATTGCTATTCTCCTTTATGTGCTGGGCACTGCCCTTGGTGTGCTCCTGCAGCCTGATTGCTCTTCTCATTCATGTGCTGGGCATTGTCCTTGGTGTGTACCTGCAGCCTGATTGCTTTCTCATTCATGTGCTGGACATTATCCTTGGTGTGCACCTGCAGGCTGATTGCTCTTCTTATTCACATGGCTGGGCACTTCCTTGGTATACACCTGTAGCCTGATTGCTATTCTCATTCATGTGCTGGGCACTGTCCTTGGTGTGCACCTGGAGCCTGATTGCTCTTCTCATTCACCTGCTGGGCACTATCCTTGGTGTGCACATGCAGGCTGAATGCTGTTCTCATTCATGTGCTGGAATTGCCCTTGGTTTGTACACATGCAGGCTGATTGCTCTTCTCATTCATGTGCTGGAATTGCCCTTGGTTTGTACACTTGCAGCCTGATTGCTCTTTTCATTCATGTGATGGACACTGTCCTTGGTGTGCACCTGCAGCCTGATTGCTCTTCTCATTCATGTGCTGGCTTTGCCCTTGGTTTGTACACATGCAGGCTGATGGCTCCTATCCTGCACATGCTGGGCACTGTCCTGATGTATTCATGCAGGCTGAGTGTTCTCAGTTCTTGAGCCTGCATTTGTCTTTCAATTTGTATCTCTTATTTTCCATAGGAATAATTTGTTTTTTTCTTTTTCTTTTCAATTTAAAATCCTGTCTGTCAAAATCAGATTCCAAAGTCAATTTGAATGTAATTAGAGAATTCTAATGGTTGTGATTATAGTGATGGAGGAGGGTAAAAATATTTTTTAAAAATTATAAAACTGCAGCTTGAAGGTATTTTTGATTATTTAGAGTTTGTCATTGGAATAAAATGAYTTATTTTAAGGCCAACCTGTCAATCTGGCCTCCAATGTATGCAGCACTTAGATATCTAACTTTGGTTGATATACAATTTTTTTATGTAATCACTATTAAAAGACTGATGAAACACTTATTCTTTGAAGTATTTAGTTTTCCCCCACACAACATTTTAAAGGCAAATAGAAAAAAAACTGTGTAACTGGGTTGAAGTAAATCTCAAAACAGGAAGTTCATTATTATTATATTCCACCGTATCACAGTGCTGAAAGCCCATTGTGATGAAAAAGATACTCATCTGTCAAAATTGAAAGGAAAGTAATACCATCTTTCCTCAAATCAAACTTTATTAAATTAATTTATAATAAAACTATAAATGCACACACTGCCTGTTATAAACCATAAAATCAGATACAACATGCTATAAAATTTGCCTCTCACAGTTGAAGGAGAAAATATAATGCATGAGAGGAAGGGCAATATAATGACTACAGATTGATAGTTGTCTGAAAATGGCCAAAATTGTGCACAGTGAAGAGGGCTCTAGGGACACTGTGAGGTGCAGATGATGTGGGTGAGTCTCCCCAAGAGGCATCCTTGCTCACCACTTGAGGTTAACTAGACTAGAAGCTACTAAAGAAGGTATAGGAAATCTGAATTCTCCGTGTTATCTACATTGTACTGTCATGGGCTAAGAGGAAAGGAGTGCCCCTGGTTCAGTCCCATGTCAGTGCTCCTCTCATTCATATGCTGGGCACTGCTCTTGGTGTGCACCTGCAGCCTGATTGCTCTTCTCATTCATGTGCTGGGCATTGTCCTTGGTGTGCACCTGCAGGTTGATTGCTCTTCTCATTCACATGTTGCTTAATTTTGTTCCTGAGCCAGAGGACTTGGTAGGGCAAGTGATTTTAGAAAGTTTCTGGTAATTAAGATTTACAAGCATGAAAATTGGATTAAGTGTGACATTTGCAGCAGTGTCAATGTGAAAGTCAACCAAACAGGCAAAAATAAAAAAAAAAWGTCTTAAAAAAAGGAATTTCCTCTGGGAATGGAGCATATAGGACACCAGTGCACAGGCTAGGCGGACTGCAGTGTGTCTGGAGAACACAGAACAGGCTGCGGGTTTATTAGGAGGAGGAATCATCAGGATTGTTCAGCAAGCTCTGAAAGGAGGTCCAGCAGCTACCTGGAGAAGCTAGTTTCAAGGTCATGGTAGAAAGTTCCATCAACAGTTGTTAAGGAAGAAAATGTAGTTTTGAAGATCAGAAACTGCTCCCCTGGATTGTCCTGCTGGGGCTGTTGTGCTGTGTTTGTGTGTCACCTTGGTGCCTCCTCCTTCTGGCACCTCAGCTCTGCCTTAGAGGGTGTTACAAGAGTGTTTCTTGTACCGTGTGCTGAACTTCCACATCAGCAAGAGGGGCTTGAGAGACTCCACTGCAGACGTGGTAGGGCACAGTGCTCCMATTCGTTCAAAGACATGCACGGGTTCCACAAGGCCATGGTCTTTGAGAGAAGAGTGGACCAGGCTTTTCATTCTCCTGTCATTCCCTGCCCAGAAGGAGCACAGGGCCCACACTCAGCACCTCTGCTGAATTCAATGTCCTTCCAGTTTGTTCCAGGGACARCAAGTGACCAGAACAGCAGTGACTTCACCTTAGAGCAAACAAGCTGTGGTGACAAGAGACCTTCATGTAGGAAGCCTATCAGCAATGCACATCTATTTCTGCTGATTCAGTGTGTGGTGGGGGCTGCATCCTGGTGAAACACAGGGCCCTCTTGCTGTGTCCCCACATGGTGGAATGGGAACAAACTCCAGGAGCTGGTCCATTTGTCAGATCTGACATTCATAACTGATTGATTACTTCCCAAAGACCCTCCCTCCAATGCCATCCCTGTGGAGTTAGAATTTTAACATGCATTTGGGGATGACACAAACTTTCCCCATTTAACATTCTCATCTATACCTATATTTCCATAATGTCCTTATTATCCTACTCCTTTGTTCTTTCCTTCCCCAGGTTGCCTTGRGACATATGACCTGGGCACCGGCCTGGTGTCTTACACTCTGAAGCCCCCACATTGATTTATGGCTGTGCTGCTGCCACACTGGAGTTCCTAATTATTTCATCTCTGGTCATGCATAAAATCTGAGTTGCTCAGCAAGTGGCAGCATCAGCAGGGTTTAGTCCAGCAGCAGGGCTCGCACGTTTGCTCTCAACCAACATGTACACGAAGAAATCAGCTATGCTTCTCATGGGCACACAGACTCCTTGGAGCAGCTCATGGTTCCATGGAACCCAGGGAGCTGCAGAGATGTGACAGGGTGAGATGATGCTAGTGATGGCAGCAGCAGCAGATGTAAGAGGTGTGCCTAGT